GCCATCAAAACCACCTTTTCAGTAGTTAGTCCAATTGCAATTGGCACTCAGGACATGTATCAAAACAAGTTACCAAAACATAGAATGAGGAGCATGGTTCTCAGCAAATCCCAGACAGTATTTCCATCCTCTACATGATCACAAGGTTACACCGATTGATGCTGGTGTCTCCAAATCCAGAGGTATCTCACTCAGATGTGGGCTAGGAACAGCTTTTGCCTTTGACTGATCTTTCTTTTACGCCGACAGGAAAAAAAAAAAAAATCTGTTCTACAGTTGGAGAATTTTAATACTTCATACAAAAGGATTATGTGTAAAAACTTATTCAAAAGGGACAAGTAAGATAATCTTGTCATCAACATAGGACAAGTTTTCTGCCTCAGCAGACATCTGCCTAAGGACAAATACACAGAATATTTTCTGCCTTAGCAAGTATTTTATCATTAGAATCTCCCACAGCTTTTAAAAACTGACTTGAAGTGGAATATTGTTCATCTTTCAGTAACTGTGTTGAGAAATGCACTAGCAATTCTTGAATAAACAGATCTGAGACGAACAAGAGATTATTTTTTCCACACAAAACAGAATTAAAACATGGAACTCACAGCCACAAGGGATTGTGGAGGCTGAAAGAAACCAGGAGTTCAAAAATGGAAAAATTCCCATAGAAAAATGGAGTCATCTTATCTGTTCTTTGTTTCACACCATCTCTTGGTGGGCACTGCTGGAGGCAGGATACAAGGCTAGAAACATCTTTGGTTCTGATCCACACTCATTGTTCTTAGGACAATGGACATCATTAGCATGATACTGTTACACTTTTATTAATGACAAAACTTATTTCACATACTTGCGTCTTATTAATAAATATAACATTTGATAAGGAAATTCAATATGATAAGTTATCTATAAAAGTATGGCATAATAAGTTACATTTTCACTTAAACATATATATCTTGCTATAATTTCTGATCAGGATCATCGCAACTGTCAGGAAAAGAAAGGTGCAAAAAAATTAAACAGATATACATAAATTTTATTTAAAAACAAACAAGAATTATTTTCCATCTAAATCTAGACTTACCTTATGGGATCATCCATCAAAGTTATACAAAGCTTCTAAGGTCTGTAAACTTTATGGTTATAGTACAGGTATATTCAACTGTCAATTATTAGAATTATCCTGGAATAATTCAAGGAGGCTTACACTAGGTTACATGAAATGTTAACTATGATTGTACAAATATCTAATACATCAGATGGTTGCAATCTTTAAGAGTCGGAAACTGAGGGGCTGACCAAGCCAGGCAACGGCTCTCAAAGGCTTATTGCAAATATTTTTAGCATCCTTCAGGATCATGCCTTTAAATATGAGCAACATGGACACCAAGAGCTCAGTTCTGCTTCTAGGTATGTGCCCATGCACAACTGCTCTTCTTATCTGAACGGTCTGAGGTGCACACCCCATGTGTCCAAGCTTTCAGTCTCTATGCCAACGGTGCCTCTCAGGTACTGAGGCACAGTTACGCCCCGGACAGCAGGGCACAGAGCTGTAACTAATCTTAAAGTGCTGCATTTTTGCAAGATTTGTACGATCGCCTTCACTTGCATGTGTGTACTCAGCAACGTTTTGCCAAGCTGCGCATTCATGTCCTCTCGCCACAGGATACTTAAAATCAAATTCACAGGTGTGCACATATACACACTACTCCCACCTAATGGTACCAGAGGCTACTCAGATGTACTTATTAGGAAAGAATCCTGTTGGGAGGTTCTGTTCAATTAATAAATGAATAGCTCAGATTCTAGTAAAACACTGGGCCAAAATAATTATTGTAGTAAGTACACAGAAATCCCTGAATAGTTAAGTGTATAGCGAGACAAAACCAAGTTTAACAGTGAGCAAACATCCTGACTTTCTTTGCACATCCTCGGTTTCTGAAGTAATGGTTAAATAACTAAGTACTGGCATTTATGAGAATACATTCATTTCAACATCTATTGTACTGTAAACCTGAAAGCCAATACTTAGAAACTTCAAGCACAGGGTGCTTCTTGTTGCTAAGGCCAAGATTCTGTAATGAAATGCACACAGTGTACCCACTTGATCCTCACAAATCTCAATGGGATGCTACACTGTATGACTGCCCTGCAATGAATCCTTCTTGTAAGCACTTGCAAAATCAGAAGAAACAGGTCCTCCAAGAAAAGAATGATAAACCATCACATTTTACATAGAGTAGAATTTGTTCATTAAAGCTGAAGTGTCTCATGGGAGTAATTCTGTTGATAAAGCTGTAAGACAAGGATTAGAGAGTGCAGGAGCCCACCTGACACAAAAAACCTCACGTATATAATCCCCATAGTTCTTTGTAGGCAATTGGTATGCTACTGCTCTTCTCACTTCTATGAAAACTGATAAATACAGTGAGTCGCAGATTGAAAAAATAATTGCAGAGTTAATAAGGACAGGAGTCCCAAAGTTCTTGACTGTATTTTCAGATACACTGGGCCCTTAACGCAGACAGCCCTGCCAGATTAGAAGTACATTAAGTACTTAATTAAGAGTGGAGAATCAGCAAGCATGCAGAGGTGAACGCTGTGTCACAATAACAGAATACCATACTGCAGAGACATTTTTTGGATGCGAATCCCAAGAGCAAGATTTCTCTTTTCTCGTGTGTGTGCAGTAGACAAAAGAGGAAACATCTCCTGAGGTCATCTATGTTCAATCAAATTACAGTATAAATATAACAACACCCCCAAGATCCCTTATATCACTTGAACACTATGCATTTTTTTTTCTGAAGTGTTTAATCTTAATACCAAAGCCCATAAATTGAAGGCTCTGTAACTACCTACCTTATAGTGAAATTCTTTGTGCACAGGGTATAAATTTTCCCTATGCCATTCAAGAAGTAACTACGTAAAAACAATGGTATTAAGTTGGCATGGTTAGGCACTCGAGATTTTATTAAAAAGTCACAGGCAGAACACAAAGTTGTCCATCCCGTGCGTACGAGTGGGGTCAGAGTCTTTACCTAGATGGACCAACTTCACCTCAAGCATTTCCTGTCCCCTTCTGCTCTGAAGGTCAGAGGCAAATATGAACAATGGGATCCTAGTTCAAGTCTGGGGTATTGTGAAAGGCTTCTAGCAGCTTTCCAGCTTTAAAGAGGCAGCGGCTGCAGGAGTAATTACCTGGAGCACTTCTGCTCAGATAGACTTAATGGCTCCTTGAGCAACCTGGGTTATCCTTAAAAAAATCCACAAACATAACATTCCTCTCCTTACAAGTCAGCACAGGAGAAGGAGGGATATGTCTTCCTTCTTCCCTGCCTCTTCAGGATGGAAAGAGCCTAATATTTGTCCACAGGTACCAAGATCTCTAACCATCACTCTATTTGATCCCAAGAAACTGCCACCTGGGGAAAGCAATGGATGACGTGATGCACTGCCATGGTGAGAATTAGTGGAACAGAAAAATACAATACATTTTGTCTATGCTCTGAAACCCCTGAAGACTTTGTCATTTTGAGTCATAAGACTTGAATAAAGTCCCATAGCACTCTGACACTCAAACTATACTCAGCTACTTGCCCGTTAATATTTCATCAAAAATACATTAAAGGCAGTGGATAATATATACACTTTTAAATAGAAAATACTTACAGAAGTTTTAGATTGTTTTAGATTATTTTAGGACTGCAGAAAGTGCAAGTTCTACCTGCATTATTTTTTAATTCATATTTTGACACAGTGAACTTGCTGACTGCTATCTTGTTTGACAAAACGGCACGAAGTCAGAAGAGGCTACTCAGGGAAAGCAGACAGTCCTTCAGTATAGAACGTTAGGAAAGATCTTAACTGGGGAATTCCTACCTGCTGAGCTCCAGCCAGGCCAGTAGCGTGGCCTGCCTCAGGTTTCAGCCTATGATCAAAACAACATTAAACAGTGAAAGATCTCTGGTAGAGAGCAAAGAGAGGAAACAGACAGCTGGATGGAAGCATCAGGACTGCATTCCTCTCCCAGACCAGCAACAGAGGGTTCAGCATTGTGCAGACCTCATCCAAAACTGGCCAAGAAACATCCAAGTTCAGGTAAGATCCAGCTGGATAGGCCTGGTGACATTTTCTCTGACAGCTTTGCTGATTAAGCAGTGCTTTGTGGTGAAGAAGAGCTGCCCTTGCTGAACCCAGCTGGGGGAGTCGTTTTATTACAGCTGATCAGCAGAGAGCTTTTACACGGAGACCAAATTTGAGTGATTGGAGATCCCTCCGCCCAAATTAGTAGTAGTAACAAACGAGTCAAGAGAAGAGAGAACTTAACAGAGACTAAAAGAAGTCTAAAGCACAACTTCCCTTGTACCCAAAAGCTGTGAATACAGTTTCATTGCAAATTAAAGTTTTATTCAATGTACAATGATACCCAGCTGCATAGGACATTTTGATATCCATTACTGTCTCCGAAAGGACACTAATCTAAGTTAAAAGATGCTGTGCAAATACTGCCATTAAACATGAACATAGTTCCTAAAAGAAACATACACTAGGGAAAAAGCTGTGCTCTCGAAATAAGTCCTAGTCGTTTCATAAAAGGAAATCAACACTTAGGGCGTATTAAAAGAAACTTCAATATTCTGATGGTTCAAGGCTTTCTAGTAAGGTAAGCTTTTTTTTCTTTTTTTAAATACTAGATTAATTTAATGGCAAAAAAATAGATAAGCTTTTCTATGCAATCTGTCCAGAAAAGATAAGGAATTTCTTAGCTCTGAATATACATGATTGTTTTAAAGAGCCACACCTGGTTGATTACTGATAAATTGAGGTTGAAAAAAATAAAATTCATTAACCTAACACAAGTCTAATCCGATGCATCTGCAGCAAGCATAGTCCATGAACATTTTATACTACATTAGATGGAAATTTCACCCAAAATGAAGGAGCAATTAATAATTAGCTTCATTCAATATGAAACACAATGATTTTTAGCCTCAGACTCATGATTTGAGCTCATCCTTGGTTTTGGTGGTGGGCCCCCCTGAAAGTGTATCCTTATCAAGGTTATCCTGTAGATCTGCTGACGTGTTATTTAAAGAATTCTCAGCGTCACATGTATCTTTCTCTATAGTGCCTGGGTGATTTCCACAATCATTGTTCAGATTTTCATCATCTATTTTGGAATGAGAAGCGTCCTCCTTTCTGTCTGAAGTATCATGAGTTTCTTCTGATTTTGAAAGCTGACCGGTATCAGTATCACTGTTCTTTTCACTGTTGCTCTGCCTAACAGCATCACAGTTCAGCTCTTGTTCATCCTGGTCATTGTCTTCCCTGCTTTTTGTGAGTTCTACCTTTCTTTCTTCAGTTGTTTTACCAGTTGAGCTTCCACTTGCTGATGTATTTTTAGGCTCTTTTGGTTTCTTATGCTTAGAAATATAACTACTGTGAATAGAAATCGGAGATGCTGGCTTTTTATTTGCTTTGCTTCCCTCTGACTTCTGTTTTCTTGGTGGTCCCCAGATAAAATGCTCTGAGGGCGTATAATGTTGCTGGGCAAATCTCAGGAGTTTCCTCCTTTCTCTTCGGTCTCTAATAGTATACACAAAATATTCTAGAGCACTTTGCTTAATGTTGGGAATGGTATCTTCCACAAGAGCTTCATAAAGAATAAATTTTACCAGGGGAGATTTGAAACTCTCATATCCAAGCTCACCAAGACTTTTCAGAATTCGAGTGATTCTCAAGTAGTTGTGTTGAGACCTTTGGAAGAAAAGGGTGAAAAAAATCCCATTGAATCAGAAAAAAAAACCAACAAACAACAACACAGATACAGACACAGAACTGGAACTGCAATTCTTCATTCATTTTTATCACTCCAGGTGTGTACTTTGGGCTTCCTCTACTTTAATTTCTCACAGCTGCTGAAGCTTGCTAGCATCCTCTTTGCTAGGATGTTGTGAGTGAAAATTAGTGTCTGTAAAATGCATTGAGACAACAGGTGGGAAAATACCAACGTGAGTACCGATTTTGATTCTTCTGCTGTACGTATTCTTTCTGAATAGTCACTCTATAAAATACATTTTTTGTAGTGTATTGCAGTAATACAGCTACAGAACAGGATTCACTGCACCTCACTTAAGCTATTTAAAAGCTGTGTCTCCACTCTGGACTAGCTAAATACGCTTCTGATACAGTCAGTGCTGGGAGAAAAAGAGGCACCTCTGGCGAGCAAGGCCCTCTGTCATAAGAAGCGTCTAAGATAAATGGAAGAGACTATCCCTGGAAATGCTTCTGAAGCATTCTGAATGCTTACCTCAGTAAAGCCTTTGATACAGTTTCT